ACCTACATTCAAAACTTCCCTTAGAAGAAAATCTTTCTTCACACTGAACAAAGTACTCTAAACCCAGCTTTAAAGAACTCGTTATTGCAATCTTAGTGAGACAGCAAAGTCCAGTAATATGGAAGATGTAAGTTCAGTGGTTGTTCCACAAAAGGTTTTCTTAGCACTCTAGGCAAGTCATGCAGTTGGATCCATGACCTTAAATAACCTTTTTGAGTACATACAGACTTTAACACTTCTGTGCTTTGATATTGCAGCTGTAGTGGAAGAAATAAAACTCCCTGTTTTGACCTGAGTGTTGTAAACATAAGAAGGTAAAAATTAGAGGGCTCTTACACACCCTGGAATAAACATATAGTGATAAGATCCTCTCTATGAGCCTTGCACAAAACTCATAGATGACAGATTCAAGCAATTTTTCAGAATGTGTGTATACCGGAATGCGCTTTTTTTTTTACAAACAACAGGAAGATCTTTATTCAATTCAATGGTGCAAAATGGGAACTGCACAAAAAGAGGTGCTACACAAAAAATACACTCTTGTATTATTAATTAAGAAATAGAAGTAATAATTAAATTAAATAGAAAAATGAATACTACCACAATCAGTGCACTCTGTACTATTAAATTATTAAATACCATAAATAGCTCAAGCTTTCCATAGTGTTCCAATTAAGTTTTAACTGCATATTACTCTATTATCAGTGATCTACCTGCAACAAAGAGAGGCTTGAAGAGCATTACTTTCCAGTTTTTGGCTTCATTAATAACTGTAGCAACACTGTTTACCAGAGTTTATAGAACCTTATTGATCAGTATTTTCACTGTCATTGGTTGCAAGACAGACTATTCATCTTCGAGGGATGGTTCCACAGCTCTAGGCAGCTGACTCAACACCCCTCCACAGCTGATGCATACACTGCTCCCTGCCCTTCCCACCCTTCCTGACCACTCACTCCTGATGCTTGCACCATGCCAGCTCCACAGCTTATGAGGTCTTTTTGGGAACCACTTTTAGTCAGCAGTGGGTCATGTCAATTCACACCAAAGCCTGTTATAACTAGAATACGGAAGGATGGGTGCTTGAGGAGACAGAAACATGTGGATCAGAAAGAAAGGGAGCAAGGGCATGGGGAGTAAGGCTTTCTTGGCCACTGAGATCATTTACAGTCAATAATGACTCTTGCCTTTAATGTGTTCCTTCATTAACCGTAAATATAGGCTAAAAAGGTCAGCAGGCAGAGCCGGTTCATTCATACTAAAGTATTAATACTTTCATACATACATATATACTTTCAGTGCTTCTTTTCTGGAGTGCATTTAGTATCTGCTGAAGGGTCACATCCCAGACACATTCTTCAGATGTTTGGATCTTCTGATGAAATTAGAAGATCAGACACTTGGGCTAACACCAACAAGTCTTCCCAAACTATGGTACAGCCACACAGCTATTTGCATAAGCATCCTCTCCTCAGAAGCCAAAAAGCAGAATTGGCAAAAACTGTCATTGACTTGTGACTGGGAGATACTGGGATGGTCAAGAACCATTTGTTGGTGGCTTTTTTTGGAAAACAAGTAAAAAATGCCTGCAATAAATAATAATGTAAAATAATAATAATAATAATAATAATAATAATAATAATAATAATAATAATAATAATAATAATAATTTTAAAAAGAGCTGACATACTTTAGACCTGAAATTCTTTAAGAATATGAAATATCCAGCCAAGGAGCTCCTCCAAATTATAGAATACTGTGAGACTAGTAAACCCAGTGAAATGATAATGCCTGATATCACTCAGTTCAGCTTTTGGCTTAAGAGAAATGACTAGAAGCAAGGCCACAGAGGATACTAGACCAACATGTCCAATATGCCATATTAGCTCTCCAAAAAGTGTAACTGTATTGCACCAGTTAAAGCAGCATTAGCTTCTCTTTGTAAATATCTGCATCGGCAGCATTATAGACAGGGGATCAGCTTCCACAAATATTTTGAGAATGGTAACTGTTTCGTCCTTTCTGCTTATTTTTAGGGTCATTCACATATTCTATGAAACTTTAATTTAGCTTTAAAATCGCTATGAGGCCACCACATGTCCCAGTGCTGCTCATATACCACGTCTCATGCTGAGTCTTTGTGAGACATTCCTCATTCTGGGCTTATTTGTTCACTAGGTATAACTTAAGCTAACTCTGCCCCATGTATCTTAAGGTCAGACTAGTTTCTCCTGTTTGCATTTCCTACTTAGGTTTTCCCTCCTGATACATCAGTCAACTTGTCCCTGTACACAGGTTGAAGCTGAAAACCAGTGTGGATAACCGGAGTCTGGGCTTGAAACCTGAGCTGAAGTAACAGCTATAAGGTGTTCATGTGGGTCATGCTGCCAGCAAAGGCAGCTCAGGAGTCCAAACAGCATGTCTCTCTTTCCAGCTATGATACAAGCACAGTCTCACAGCAAGGCTGAGCCTCTTACAAAGGAGAGAAAGAAGAAGAGGCCTCGTGAAAGCAAAGGGAATAGGTGTAGAGATGTTCTGCTAACCTCACAACGAAGAAATAGTGTCACACATCTTGTAGCTGATCTCCACTGCTGCTGAAAGATGCCATTCTAGTCTGTGCCTGGCCTCATCTTCTCACCCTCCCTCTGTGCTGCTTCATCACCACAGGCAGCTGAAATAGCTTAGTTGAGAAAATATATTTTGTGTGACTGTTTTTTCCAGTTATGTTAAGTGAGTTTCTCTGAGTTGCTGCATGGCCACACTGATACAACCACAAGGAGATCAATGGTGATGCACACCTGGGCAAGAAGAAGAATCATTCTTTTTAGAAGAGTACCTTCTGAAATTGGCTAAAGGCAGTTGTGAAGCCACACAGCTGCATATGAACCTGGCACAAGTAAGAGCATTGCTGTGAATCAGCACGTAAAATTAAGGCCAAGCCCAGAAGACTTCAATTAGTTAGTGAAGCACTACATTTGCTAATGACTTGTGCTGCAATGACCAGTGAGATCAGCATAGGCCACCATGATTTGAAAGATCATGGCTTTTCTGAGACAGGCATTGGCAAGAACAAGCAAACTCAGAGAAAGCACAGATGTTAAATGTTTCTGAAGTTTTTCTGTAACTAAAAATGGGAGATTACAAGGTCTGTCAAAACAGAGAAAATAAAAATCCACAATATGGGTTAGAAAATAAAGAATCCACATTATTCTCTGATACAGAATAGCAGAAGGGATCAAACTGGCATAAGTTCCAGTGTGCCAGTTTTCTGCTTCTAAAGCAGAACCTGCTTTGCTGTGCCAGCTATCTCAGTTTTACACAGAGACCACAGGAACTTTGCACAAAGTATTTACTTATCACATGAAACAGGTGTCAAGTTTGACTTTGGTTATCCCAGTTGCTCTCCTTCTCACTCTCTGTTTGAACCAGGAAAAATAGCTAGTGTCAGCATAGGGATGTGGACCAGGGAATTCTACTTACAATAAAATTTGTTGCCAAACTGACAAAAAGGTTTAGCTGCTTACAGCCAAACATTTCACCTGCATCACTGTGTGGTTTCAGCAGCCACTGTCTGGCTGTTCTCTGCTCCTTCCTCTCCCTAGAGATTGAATGCATACATTCCCAAAGAGGGAGACTTAATGGTATCCAAGGAATTTGGCACTCCATTCATGCACTTTAGTCATCTCAGCTAAGCACCAGAACAGAGCTTACTCTAGAGCTGTGAGGTGTCCTGCTGAAGCTTCAGGACAGATGTCACTTCAGTGAGAATATCTTCCATTTTTTAATATGCAAAATATACACATAAAACCAGAAAGTTTCTCTCTTTCTCTCTCTCTCTCTCCCTCTCTCTCTTAACTATGTTTTAATTATTATTTTTTCAGGTAAGTTACGAGAGAAACAATTTCCATATTATATTTTATGTTGACCTTTCATCATTTTTTTTGCAAGTTTAATGTTTCATTGTAGGGGGGGGAAAAACAAACAACAAAACTCAAAAGATATCTTTCACTATCTGGCAACTGAATTTAGCAGCCTTCATACATTTGTCATTGCCAGTACGTATTTCATCAGGAAACCACATGAGATAAATTAGATTTCCTGTTCAGCTTAGAGAGCAGCAGAAGGCATCTAGCCAGTGCAGAGTTGTTATTCACTGTTACAAGAGACATAACTCTGACATTAGGACTCTCTAGTAGTTCATCTGAAGACTAACATGAATGGGCTGCATGATGTCAGATTGGTTCTGTCCACTTCTGTGAGCTGCTTATTTCAATGTACAATAAATTCACTGTCTAGGAAAGCTGTCATTCATGCCAGGCAACTGTGCCTGTGCTCTAAAACATAAATTTAAATATATAGCTATAAATTAAGGTGTTCTTCTAAGGCAGATGGAGAACTGTTCATGGCCACATTCTTCTGCTAAGAAGAAAAACTTGAACCCTGCAATTTCTTAGCAACGGCTTCTTTGAGCACCACGTAATTCCAAGCAGCATCCAAAAGCAACTTCCTTTTTTTTCCTCACATAACAACTGAAACTTGATGAAAAGAGAAGAATTTTGTTATGATTTATAATATGACTTTTAACTCTTTGTGAGTCTTGGCAATATACATGAAGCTCTTTACAAAAAAGAAATCACTTGTATTTCCGTCATAATTTAACTCAAAAACAAGGTAAAAAGGAAACCACTTAAGTGGTTAAGTATGACCAATGTAAAATGGCATATTTTCTTCACAGTTTTTCTGATATTTTTTTCCTTATAAGAGAAGAAAGAAGAGATTCCAGTAACCACTTCTCACAAACAATAGCATCAAACACCTGTATTTACAAAGCCAACACTAACCTTCAGAGAGGTTTAAATTTCACTAATAAATCAGTTACAATTGAAAGGTTACAACTATTTGGTGGAAGAGGGTGGTTTATGTTTTTTGTTGGATTTCTTATTGTTATCTGACGTGCCATCTGTGGTAGAAGAGCTATTCAGTTGTGTGATACAGCTCACCTGCACATCCACAAAGATGCTCAGAGAGACAGTGGGAGGATGGGGAACCCAAATTATACCGTCAGGCCACCCTCAGACCCATCACAGAAGCCATCAGACCACTGAGGACCAATCTCCACAAGTCCAGAGGAGTGCAGGGAAGGCAGAGTAGCAGGCAGAGACCTGGAATCATACAATCAAAGAATCATTTACATTGGAAAAAAAGCCTGTAAATGATTGAGTCCAATTGTTAATCCAGCACTGACAAGTCCACCATTAAACTGTCCCTGAGTGTCACATCTAT